ACACACACTAACAAAGTTATCTAGAATAAATCAACCTACTAACCCTAGTGAAGCTGGGTACTTTTGTTAATGTACGTGTATATATATATATAATATACATATAAATTAATAAAAAATGGGTTTAAACTTATTACATATATTACATGAAACTTTTGATTACCAATTTAAAAAAAAAGTTGGTGTGCTTATAATTTTGGTATGGTAAAAAGTTATTTTTATTATGTTTCAATGATCATAAACACTGAAACTGTGAGCAGTTTTTCAAATCAAAACAAAATTATGTATAACACAAAAACCTTTATAGGAAAGTTATAAAATAATATAAGAATTAGTAATTGATATGAACAACTAATTAAGCATTTTTCATTGCTTCTTTAAAAAAAACACAATTAATACTCTCGCTATGAGTGGTCAAATCGGCTGAGTTTGTAACCCCAAATTGACCTTTATAATATCTGTACTATAACTTCTAATATGTTTTGTGTATCTTCACGAAATTTCACAAGCTTTCACTAAGTATTAAGTCTTTTGTAGAGAAAAAAAATTCAGAATTTTTAATAAGGTATTTTCACTAAAAATTGCTCTATGAATATGTGCAGTCAAAGTTTTTGCTGTTCTGAGTGCAAAGTAATTTTCATGTTCAGATTAAAAATACTTTTCTTCATCTGAAAGTTCTTACATTTTATTTGTGTAATCTCTAAAATTCCCTAAATAAATTTAAAACTTTTTTTTCCAGCAAAGCTTCATATTTTATGTTATTTTCTCTACTCTAACTCTACATGAGGTTGGTCAAATTGACTGACCTCGTAACCACCACAAAACAATAAATAAATAAATCTAAATTTCTTCAAATTGTAACATGAGGCTACATTTGTTTATCCTTTTGAACTCATGACAGTATACATCTATTTATATTTTATTATTTTATTGCCCTTTGAACTGTGTCTAACTAATATTCTTGACATACAGGTTGTAAATCATTTGGCAAATGTGTAGCTCACATTACCCTATCAAATTATATAATTCATGAGCTACTTGTTAGCTGCTCACAAGCATACCTCGTGAACAATTTGTGTTTATTTTACCTAATACCTAGCTTTATCTAAACTATAACATTTCTAATTTTTACATTTTAGTTACTTTTATAATAATCTTCGCAAAAATCTACAAGCTTTCAATAAACATTAAAAGTCATTTGTAAACAAAATTATCAGAGTTTTTAACAAAGTATTTTCTCTATAAATTTCTCTATGAATATATGGAGTCAAAGTGTTGACTACTCCAAGTGCAAAGTAACTTTCAGGTTAATATTAAAAATACTTTTCTTCATCTGAAAATTCTCAAATTTCATTTGCATATTCTATAAAACTTCCTAAATAAATTTCAAATGTTTTTTCAATAAAATGTTATATTTTATTCGTTATTCTCTCTACCATAACTCTATATGAGGTTGGTCAATAATATTAAAATTTGGATTATTAGCTTTGTTTTATGTCAAGTATATTCATATACTATGATAAGAATGCAGTTTGATTAAATTTTGAATGTAACTCACTAAAACCTTGTGATATGTGCAGAAAAGGAAGCCCATATGGAAAGTGTTAAATCTTTTCAAAATTTCAAAACTGTAAATTTATATAAATATCACACAAAAATATTTCATATGCTGAAGCTACTATTTCAACGAGTAGTTTTCTTGACAATGTGGTACTGACAGACGTTTTTTAGATATTTCATTCCTTTATGAAGCAACCTTTCTAAAAATGAGAAATCTAACATAATAAAGGCTAAACTTTCTTTTGGTTTATCGTGACTTTAAAGCCAATAATTAGTATGTTATGAAATTGTATTTTTTGTAAAAAAGTAATAACTGACCTTACAGTTAATAAGATCAGAACTACCCCCAAAATGCTTACTCACTTTAGGTAGTGTGGTATTAAAACTACAGTACAAAACCTTAACTCTAGAAATAAAAGTGTAAAACCTATGTAATAATGCATTTATAAATATATTTTTGATTATCATAAAATCATTTTGAAGCAAAATATTTATAGTGGCATTTAATTCTCACTCTTATAATACACCCATGGTCCCATAGTAAGAACACATCTTTTGCAGCAACAAGCTGCAAGCCATGAGCCCTTAGACTCACAATCAAAACATGCTAACCACTGAGACAGGTCCAAAACTTGAGGCTCAAGCAATGATCAAACAAAATTGGTCTGGATTGTATTAGCAAACAAATGAAATGGTGGGATGGGATGAATCTACTAAATTGGCTAATCAATAAATTTTAGCCAGTCTATTGTCTGGTATTCATACATTGATCTCAGAACATTTGTTTTTATTTGAATTCTGAAAGGAAAAAAAACAAATAAAACATAACTATCTTAATTTATAATAGCTAGAAAATTAAATTAAATAGAATACTACTTCACATTAAAGCTGATAAAAATTAGATATGTTCAAAAAAAGGTTTGATATACAAATTACATACCATATATAAATGCAAATTAATGGGAAAACTTGGAGGAATAACTTACTTTAGGCTGTTGCTGAATAGGTATAACTTGCTGACCAGAAGGAATTCCTGCTAATTGTACACCTCTCATTGATACTACTCCTGACTGAAAATAATTTCAATATAAATATCTCAGTCCTGATTATGTTATTTGTCCTCTTCCTATTTCATATTTTACCCTTATAAATTATTTTTCTTGATAAAAATCACAACTAAATATAAGGTAATAAAAACAGACAATAACTTTAATAGTTTTCAATAATTTCTGAACAAGAAAACTCATCTACCAAATTAAAACAACTTGACAGTAACTTCTTATAACCACACCTCGAATTTAGATTAATACGTTAAATGGTCTTACAGATACTGAACTAATTCTTATGTTAGTCTAAACAAAATTTCACAATAATTTATTTTGATTGCTGCAAATAACTTCCAGAAACAAGCTTCAAATAAAATAACAGGTTTATTCTTTCAATAACTTTATTAACACCTGTATGAAATCGAACGATTCTGTTATTCCTAATATAGTTCTTATGGGGAAATTAGACCCCTGATGTTGCAAAAAAGCAAGATATGAATTAGTTCTTAATAGAGTTGGGTGATTTACTAATTAATCAGTATAATCAATTATCTGTCAGTAGCAATTCCATCAACTGGTGTCCCATAAACTAATCAATTAATTTCACAAAAATAATCTTCAAAATTAGGGTTTCTGATTATTACCATTTTTGATTATTCCAACAGTAGATTAATTGAAATTAAGATTAAATTGACTGTCACAAAAATAACCAACTATTTGAAATATTGTCATTATGTTTGTTTTTGTTAAGCTCAAAGCTACATAATTGTGGGGATACTTCATGATTTGAGGGTTTGATTTCCATTGCTATTAAAATCACTCATCCTGTTTTTGTTACTGCAAAATTACTAAGGCTATATGTCACTGTCACTAATTCTGAACCACTGACTAGAGTGATGGCAACTGGCTAATAATGTTTGGGGAAGGTTTTGTCATCACCAGGTTTAACTAGTTTACCTAGACACAGGAATATACATAAAGTACAAAGCAAAGAAATCACATGCCTGAAGATTGATCACTGCTTAATTAAGGTATCTTGTTGATGCTTGGTTCTTTGTTTAAAATTACAAGATTTTTTCTTTTTAATAGATATACTATGCTTTTATTGAGCAGAAAACGTTTGTAAACACGAGTTTTTTTTTCATTATGTTCACAAAACAAAATCGTCATCAAATCAGATAAGTTAATTTTACTGTTTAGTAAGTGTGGAAGGTGCTTGGAAAATATTGTGATGACTCAAATTTTTGTTGAATATTGTTTTTATGTTTATCCTATTCAAACAACGTACATAAAAAGACTAACTGGCTACTTTAAACTATTTGTTATTTGAATTGTGAAATGTTTTAAATACAATTATTATTATTATCTTTATTGTGAAAGTAAAATGTTTTCTTTGTTTAATTATCAATTTATTTGATTTACAGAAGATCAGTGTGGGATTACTGCATAGTTGAAAAACAGACAATTGCAATCATGTGGTGGTATGTAATTAATATTAGTGATTCATCCACAAAGTAGAAAATGTCCATAAAACTTGAGAATTTTTTTTTTTACAAAAAATACATTTTTTGCAAATATGTAAATAGTAACCTATGGAAGAGGTCTATAATATGAAACCAATGGTAATTCAAAAATTACTTAAAAAAACAACAACAAATTTAAAGAAAATAGAAAAATTAGTACCATGTTAGAATCATGCATTTGTTGAAAAAAATTAAAATGTTAAGCACATACCAGTTTTTGCATTTTTTCTTCTTCTACAGGTTGTAGAGAACATAGTATACTAATCAAATGTGATCAGTTATTGAGCTACTACTAATTAGGAACTACTACTAATTACCATGTTTTAGTTATAATGCTACTAAAATTCTCATACCCACATCAGAATTGTGTTACTCTGCTTTTCACAGGTGTGGTGTAAACAAGTAAAAATATAAATATTAAAAATAAATTCACAACTTTTTGACTTAAATTGACAACTGGTTAAACATTCTACATAAAGCAATACTATCCTTAAAAGATAAAGTATATACAATTATGAAAAAAGAAATCAATTAGTCATACAGTCTAATACAAATAATGAAATGTAAGCAAAAGTATTTATTCTATCATAAATATTATTTAACTCTAGCATTATGTTTTTATATCAAATTAACTAAAATCACAAAAATATATTACATACTTTTTAAAATCTATATCAGGGCAGAAATTTGCTGTATAGAAAAAAGTTTTTTATTCATAGCTTCATGAAACTTGTATTTTTATTACCAAAAATACATACAATAATACACTTAAAAACATTTTCAAACTGATGTTGCAAATCATTCAAATCAATTAGCTTCTTTACAAATATTTTCATTGTACCTGCAGAAAATGAGAGTGAAAAAAGGAAATACTGAATAATCTGCCAATAGCACCAAAAAAGATGAATACAATTAATTTGGTGTGAAGAGATCACACAAGACACGCAGTAGGCTACAAAAGTAGAATAAATTACCTGCTGAACATATTTCTCTTCATTGAATCCAGGTTTCTGACTGGAATGCTCTAATGGCTGTTGTAAAGATGTTACATAACCAGGAGCTATAAATAAAATATTAATATTTACATGTCTCTACTCATAAGTTTGAAATCCTGTATATAATCTGTAAGTTGCAGTCAACTGAGTATATACAGGGTTTGGACAAAATATTGGAAAAAAACCTGTTCATTTCTATATTTCATTTTTAGTAATATGGGGTTGGTTCACCATGAGCAGACAATACATTAACACGACTGGTATATGATGAAACAAGATGTTGTGCACCAACAATATTTTATCCAACCATTGACCAAAGCTTTTTCTAATTGTCAAAATGATGTTGGTTGTTGAAAACCACTTTGAAACACTTTTTTTTAAAGAATTGACCAAAGAGGCACGATAGTATTTAAATCTGGTGACTGTGGTGACAAAGTTAGGTGTCCAAACTCATGTTCTTTGAACCAATCTTTAACAATTTTAGCAGTGAGATCATAGGCTCTAAACTATTATAATAGAAGCTGCCCAATGTTATAAGGCATTCAGGAATGCAAGCTTCTTACAGTTTTCACCACACATAAACACATCCATTTTATGGGGAAAAAAATGTGTAAAAGATGATAGACCTGATCAAACCATTCTTCCAATGATTTTTAGTCCAATTTTTATGTTCTTCACACCATTTAATTTTGCAATTTTACACTCTTTACACTAGTCACTGAAATCTGTATGTTCAAAAGAGCTTCACACTGAATAATCATGTCTTCAATAAAGGATTCAATCATTATCTTTAATATTTATGTGCATCTCATATAAACAAAGTGATGAAAATACCTTGTTCTTTTAACTCTTTCAGCACGGGCTCGATCCCTGGGACCGACCTCGTAACCATTTTGTGCTTGTTAAAGTTTTCACGCTATAACTTTTAAATTAGTAAGCATATCTTCACAAAATTTTGCATATTATCATTAACATTACAAGCCTTTCGCACACAAAATATCAAATTTTTTTTATTAAGTTTTAAGATTTATTAAGTATTGTTTTTCTCATGCATTTTTCTTTTTGGATGTTGACTATCCAACATGCAAAGTAATTTTGATTTTAAGATTAAAAATACTTAGCAATCAGAAAATTTTAAAATTTCACCTGCAAAATCTTTATAACCTCCAGATAATTAACATATGTTTTAGAAAAAACTTTATATTTTATCTGTTATTTTCACTACTGTATCTCTGTACAGGTAGGATTGATTTGACCGACCTCATAACCACCATAAAAAATTAGGAAATAAATATAAATTATAGCACAAAAACACAAATGTTTAGTTAAAATAGCTTAAATCTCATCACGTTATACATCTAGACATATATTTATTATTCTGATTATCCTAACCTTTCAGTCGTACCTGACTAACATTACAGAAGTTGCAATGACATGGATCACGTGCACTCATGAATATAAAACTGGCCTTTACAAAGTGACCTATCTTGGTTATGTTTTAATGAACTAGTATTTTATAAAATACAGTCACATTTCAAATTTTCCATTATAATATATTATTACTATTTGCAAATAAATTTCAGTTATTTCTCTTAATACATAGAACAGTAAATAAAGAAGTATACCAAACAATTATTTCTTCTAGTTACAAACTTTGCAGATATTTGCTGCTTGTTGTAAGTCTTATAAAATTTTGCAAGTGGAGGATATGAAACGAAATAACTTTCTTAGGTTTTATATATGCATTTTGAAATAACCAAAAATCATAAATTACTATATCAATAACACAGAATTCCACTATCATTTATCAAGCTTAGTAACTAAGCTGTATTTTGGTCTAAAAAATATTAAATTTTGAGCTCACTAATGTCTTACCTTACAGCTAGGAATCTAGCATGAAAAGAAAGAGTTTGCCATACAAATACTTCACAGAGGTTGAGAAAACTACCAGAGGGACATTCTGAGCTTTTGATTGGTTATACACACATCAGTGGGTGAAGGAGGTGTATGTAAGCAGGTATTTTGAAAAATTGAAGAGATGGGTGAGGCCACCTTGGTTGATTCAATAATTATATAAATATCTCAGAAATAGAAAAGATAGCAGGTTCTTATTTTACAATCTAGCCTGTCAATATCAGTAATTTGAGTATCTATTCTTGAGAAACTATAGATTTTGTATTTTGACATCACAAACATTTAATTTGAACCAATGCTGCATTCAACATACCATGAGACACAAAAAAATTGATGTTTAACTGTGTTTTTTTTATATTTATTTTTAAATTAAGAAATTAACTAATGTATAATACAAAAATTTGAATTATAATCTACAATTTGATACCAAATTTATTGGCATAATAAAATAGTAGTTCAATAAAAGTTTGAATGCGAGTCACCAAATGCGATGACATGGCTTTTGACCCATCACCTGTGTCAGTAGGGTTAAGCAAGTTTTAAATCTAATTTACTAAAGAATTCCTCTGTTGAGAAAGAAGTTTCGTCCAGTTATTATAACGTGGGTGTGATACCATATCACTTCCTCTACACTCCTATTTTATCAATCATATAGTCAATTTTTCAATATCCATATGAATATAATGGTACTGTCTGTTGTCTGTCCATGTAACTATTTAGCAGGGTGTGGATGGATCTTCATCAAAGTTGTTAAGGTGGTTCAATAAGTCCATGCAGTTGTACATACAAATTTTAAGTCTTGCAATTTTTATGGGCATTTTTTTTATAACTACCTCATCTCCTGTGGATGGATCTTCACGAAACGTGGTATGGAGGATCATTTGGTCCTTGGGGAGAGACATAGAAATTTTCAATTTTGCAGTTTGCAGTTTTTATGGGAGTTTTTACATTTTTTACCAATACCTCACCTCCTGTGGATGGATCTTCACCAAATTTGGTATGGAGGTTCATTAGGTCCATTCAGGGTACATACAAATTTGCGGTTTCACATATTGTGTTTTGCAGTTTTTATGGGCATTTTTTACAATTATATATAAGGGAAGCAACTTTTCATGTTCTAAGATAACCTTTCATTACTCCAACTATTAACTGATATTTTTTTATTTATTAGCAAAAGTTGTTGATTTAAAATAAAAAGTTAAGGCATAACAATAGAAATAAATATAGCTCTAAACACAACAGATTCTTTGAAGATATATGGTGCTTCCTGTACACTTAAACACTACCAGTAAATCAATGTTTTGCTGTATTTACAAACAAGGGCATTGCAACAAGTTGTGTATGATAATTGTGGGCATTCAACCAAATAACATAACCAAAATAGCTTTAGATATTGTACTTTAAGTTTGAGATATAAATAATGTAGGCAGTCAGTTTTCCACTATGAAACATCATTACACACAGAAAGATAAACATATAAGATACTATATGTCAATATATTTCTCTCAAATTTTATATACAGATTTTCATCCAAGTATTACCATTGCTGACAATAAGGTTTTGTTTTGGTGCAAAACACTATAGTGTGGCTGCATGGCATCATGTGATGCTTGTCTGTGCAGACTAAACAAACAACAGCAGTGAATCTTATGTGAAATATGAAGTGCAAGTTTCATAATTCCATTAAATATAGGGTAGAAACTAAGAAATCACCCTGTTGTTGAAGGTGGGGTAAATGGTATCCTTGTGGAGGAAGGTGTTTTGTGTTTCCACCTTGTTCCTGTGGGTACTGTCCTGTAGGATGGGGTGTGCCAAAACCAGGGTATGGAGTTGGAGTTGCCTGGCTTGGTTGACCACCAGATGGAGTTGTGGCAGAAGGTGGATGAGTAAAGTAAGTTGGGCCTTGATTTCCATGAAATGTGGAGGGTTCTGAAATAATAAAGACAGTAATATCATTTCTACAGATATTCAAGCAGCAATTTTATAAACACACAAATTAATTTTATTGTAATTCTTATTTATCATAATCATTTTATGACTTCCCAAATGGTTGTTCCAACCAACAATGCAGAATTATACTAGCTTACAATGTTCATTTTTATTTCAACACATAAACGACCCACTACACTTTGCTACCATAAAAACTTGTTTTTGCTACTAAATCTAATATTTCCCAGTTAAAAGAAATCTAAAATAAGCTATTTTATTTTCAAAATCTTACTTAAATCAATTAGGCTAAATTTTTGAAACTGCAACCCCAAACTGATCTCAATGGAAATTACAAACAACTGTTCAAACGATACTGTTATAGCCAAACAGTTTTCATCCAACGTATGAAATTAAAATATATTTAAATTCTATACTGTTGCTTAACCCTTTTGAGATGGGTCAGAGGTGAAAAGCCATGTAATTTCATTGGTTGATTCGCATTCAAAATTTTATGGAACTGCTATTTCATGAATTTATGTCAATAAGTTTGGTATCAAACTGTAGATTACAATTCAAATTTTAGAACCATAGATTACTAAATTTCTTCATTTAAAAGTAAATATTAAACAAAAAAACACAAGTAAACATCGATTTTTGGGTGTCATGTGGTATATTGAATCCAGTACTAGTTCAAATTAGATGTTTGTGAAGTCAAACTACTAAGTCTATAGTTTCATACAAATTAGAATTTCAAATTACAGGTATTGATAAGTTAGAATATAAAATAAGAAGGTCTTATCTTATAAATCAAACACGGTGGCACCCCGCTCACCTCTTTCCATTTTTGGAACCATTCCCTTATATACACTTACTTCTATATATAACATGAATAACCAATAGGAAGCTCAGAATGTCCCCTAGTGGTTTTCTCATCCTTTCTAATGCACCTAGCGCCATTTCTTTCTTTTTAACCAAGATTTCAATGAGGTAGTTTTTGTCTTTAGTCTGCTCGAAATTTCATATTTTTTTTTATACCCAAATACAGCTTAGTTACTAAGTTTGACAAATTATAGTAGAATTCTGTGGCATTGATGTAGTAA